TTTTATATATTTAAGAGAAAATAGGGGCCAAAATGGTTTTATCTTGTAAACAACTTTTAAAATGAGACTATTAGAGAGTTTTATGTAAATTGTGTCAGACGCAGTAAGCGAGGATATATACATGTATGTATGGTTTGAATGATTTACACTAGTAATTTTGGGGCCCTATATAGTTTATTGTTCGGTGTGAGCCAAGGCTCCGCGTTGAAGGCCGTACCTTGACCTATAATGGTTTACTTTTATAAATTGTTATTTGGATGGAGAGTTGTCTCATTGGCACTCATACCACATCTTCCTATATCTATGTACATGTAATATTAGCAAAACTAGTACAAATTAAGTAATTATTTACAGCTTGTCTTGCAGTCTGCTCCAAACCAGTTAAAAATCTTTAGTATTTAGGTGTCGACAACAGCTTTAATTTATACATATACTAGAATTTATTGTTATCTTCATCCTGGAAGATTCTAGGAGTTGCTCAACCATATGAGTATCGTACGTTGTACGTTTAGGTGCCAAGCTTTGTTAATTTAGGCTGGAAGCATTATGACGAGCAATTTCAGTTACATATAACCATTGGCCCTACTGGTTCCTAGGCTACAGTTGATTCCAAATTATGGTTGAAATTTATTAATGAAAATTATAGTACAGGTTGAACTTCAGTTAACATGAACACTGGGACTAATTTGAAATGTTATGCTTTTAATTACGTGGGTACCTAGATGTTGTTAAGCAGCTTGTTTGTTTTTGTTGTTGTTTTTTGTTGTTTTTTTTTTGTGTGATGCAGGTCATCCTATTATAACTTGTCAGTTGTCCTAACAGGAGCATTTACCATGTTTACTTTGCATAATCTAGGCCTTCTTATGATAATCCAAGTTTCAGGTCACCTAGACCTCAAATGGAAATAAGTTTTCATTTTGGCAACCTAGTTCAAACCCAAGACGAGACAAAGAGTGGTTGCTGCTGTTATACTAAATGTTTGTTTCTTCTTACATGGATTTATACTCTAGTATACAGGTCCTCATAGTCATTCTTTTAAAATTGCATTTGCCTGAGTTGATCTAGTTATTCTTGTCTTGTTTTATGGGCAGTTTATTACATTATAAGAAATTCACTTCAACATAGACATCTTACACATTCAGGTATTTCCCATCCAATCTTTTATGGTAATATTCTTTACAAAGCACAAAATGTCAGTTTTACCTCAAAAGCTAACAAACATTAAAGCAAACTGTTAAAAAAAAAAAAAAAAACATTTTTGGCTTTTATATTGATTCACTTGCACAGTCTTTGCATCGGACATAAACTCATTTATTCTTAAACCAGTTGCTGGTATGATACGGGTTATGTTCCTCTAATATATTTTATGATGGTATGATACTAAACCCCCAATGGAGGGATGGTGCTAGATATTTCATATAATGAAGACATAATTTTTCGAACAGTTAATATAAGGTCTGGAGCTGGCATGTCAGTAACTGTTTGTAGTCCTTTGTTGTTTATGTAATATTGTCACTTTCAATTTTTGTATTGTTTGTTTTGTTACCTATTCTGTTATTGGACTCGGACTTCTGTGTGATTTTTACTGTGCGTATTGCTGTGTGTTTGTTTCTTCTTCATTGGGTTGAGATTTTAAAAAGCTTGTTTAATTTAACCCCTCTGCATTTTAGTGCCTGTTCCAAGTCTGGAGCCTCTGGCCTTTGTTAGCCTTGTATGAGTTTTTATTTTAGTTCATATATTTCGGAGTTTAGTATGACATTCATTATCACTGATCAGGTACAAATTTTTCTTATGGCCGAAGCCATTTCTTGTTTTTAGGTGGATCGCTTCAGGTGCTTGGTCCCAACTGCAGATGTTTATCCTGCTATAACCCCACGGGAATTTATTACTGTTATTTCAGACCTTTAGTAACCGTTTAATTGTAAGTTCCATAGCACCTAGTACATATAAATTTTTTTTTCATGAGTTCAGATCTCTAATTGTTTTAATGAATACATTTCCTTTCTCTCTCTATGAATTGTTGAGGTATTGCTTACTTGTACATTTTGTATCTCTCTCAATAAAATTGTGACATTACTAATTTACTAGATTTGGATATTTTTTAGGAAAATTTAACAGATGTGTCAAAAAAGTTTGAGGTTTGACAGTTTTTAAGGAGGTATTAAACACTCCAGGCCTAAGGACAATGATTTACATTTACCTTAACCAGAGTCATGCTGAAGTCTAGCAAATATTTCCTTATCTTCGTGTTGGTTAAACTTGGTATGAATTCAGTTTGTTTGAAGCTGTCTTTTCAATTGTTTTTGAGGATTATTAAAGGGTCGGAGATCCAATGCTGACAACTTAATACAAGGGTTACAGAAGAATTATTATTTTTCTCGATTAATTATGCTTTAAATTGTATTGGTATTACATATGTACATATACTTCCATGTAGCTAATTGACGTACAGAATTGTAGGAGATCCTATATAGCTATAATGTTTGGATAGTAGAATCCTCAATAGTAAGTATGTTTTTGTAGCAGACCGACATCCTCCAGATGGGGTTGACTTAGGTCTAGGCACTGAAATGAATCTTTGTGGTGGCATGATTGTCAAGCATGTTAAAAGTCAACTCAGAACAATGAAACTATGAGGATCCACCATATTTCTTAATAAAACATGTAGCAGGTAATGACACAGGTAGTTCTAGTGTGGGATTTTTGCACAATGAGATGAAGAACATGATCAGATGGATTATGCGGTTCATCAATTCTTAAGTCGTATGGTCTCAAATTTGACCAGGTTATTGCAAAGCATGGACTTGCGTTGCTATAGATCTAGAATATACAACTATATTATTGCCTTTATAATTAGCTGTCAGGGTTGCTACTTAAAATATCATGATTTTCGATCAGATCAGAAATTTTTCAACTTGATGGTTCTCACTTGTCACCCTTAACCAACATGCTTATGAAATGAATTGTTAAACATCTTGAATATTTATTTGATGATATACTATGATATACTATATTTTATGATATACAAATACAATCAACTATCTTACGGTTTGGTGTAGTTTTGGTTAGTATTTTTATCTGTGTAGGTAAATATGTTTTTGAACAGTTGTTCACATAACACCATATTGATTATTTAACATATATATATGTACCAAGTTGTACTTTAAATAAAATATCTATCTATCTATCTATAGTTATCTGGTTCACAGCTTTGCAGCGAACCGCCCTTTTTATGGCGGTTGACAGAGTCTCTGTTTTCCTCCGTCAATGTGGCAGAATTCGCTGCATAGAATCTTAATGTTAACTATGAAATTTTAGGTTTTTTGGATAATACAGACTACACTTGTGTATCCCACGGTGTTTTCTAAATTCAAAGCACCAGTGTATCCCACGGTGCATCTTTACATTTTCATATATATCTATCTATCTATCTGCAAGGTTGCCATATTATCTTCGGGTAACCAACCATATATCTATCTACATATACATATACATCTATCTATCTATATATATATATATATATATATATATATATCATATGAATCTATATTATGAATAAAAGCTGTGGCCAGATATCGCCAAACCATATATGTATTTTGTTTTAATGGCACCATCTGAGATAATGGAATTTAAGTAAATAGACTTAAATTCAGTTATCGCTGGGGCCACTGACGGATTGTGTTTCATGTTTTAGATGTACCTAACATGAGTGACGTTATATTCTGTGACGTAATTTAGTCCTTTACAGAATTTCATCGCAGCAAGCAAGCTGTTTAAATTTCGTTAGCGGTAAAATTGAAAACCCGCCCTCCCACTCCTTTTTTTTGTACGAGATACTGCTCTTTTGTATTTATTTTTCAGGTTTTTGTCGGTGACAGTGGTAATACAGATGTGACTGATGATGTTAACTTGTTTGCTGTTGAGAAAAGTGACTTTTATTTGAACTTTGAGCATCATAAATAGATTCCCAGTAAATGGCAGAATTCGCTGCATAGAATCTTAATGTTAACTATGAAATTTTAGATTTTTGGATAATACAGACTACACTTGTGTATCCCACGGTGTTTTCTAAATTTAAAGCACCAGTGTATCCCACGGTGCATCTTTACATTTTTATATATATCTATCTATCTATCTGCAAAGTTGCCATATTATCTTCGGGTAACCAACCATATATCTATCTACATATACATATACATCTATCTATATATATATATATATATCATATGAATCTATATTATGAATAAAAGCTGTGGCCAGATATCGCCAAACCATATATGTATTTTGTTTTAATGGCACCATCTGAGATAATTCTTACACATGTAAAGTTGTATTTCTTTATTAACGTACTGAATAATGGCAACAATATTTCTTTGATTTCTAGCAATTTCCAGTTTACTATCCACATTCGTATACTGAAAAATCTACAGTTTATTATCCACATCCGTATATACTTGCTAGAAATCAAAGAAATATTGATGCCATTGTTTAATACGTTAATAAAGTAATACAAATAGACAGGACATACTAATAAAAATTAAAACACATTGATTTTTTTTTAATATGCTTACCGAGTCCCTGTGAAATGAATGCCTGTAAAAAAGAAAATCTGTCTAAATTGTATGTATGTTTATATTTTTACATGAACATTCCATGATTATATAAGAATACACAAATAGTTGTAGCCATTGTTTTTTTTTTTTTTGTTGTTGTTTTTTTTTTTTTTTTTAACTTTTCGCATGCAGAAAGCCACTGTAACTCCTATATAATGATACTGGTAACAGATTTATTGTTTGTACTTCAACTTGATTTTGCCAAAACCATGCATTTAATTAAATTCGTATGTTTATTCAAATATATAGATATTGTCTATTGTCTATTTACCGACCGTTTTTTAGCAAGTTCTTCTTTCAAAAACTTTATTTGATTCTCATATTGCTTATCAAAGTATTAGTCATTTTTAAAAAGCAGAAATCCCTGAGTCTATAAATAGATTATAATCTAACACTGGATTTTTGTGTGGAAGATTTTGACGCGTGTTAACAGGTAAATTTAAGTTATTGTTTATTAAGTATGTTTGTCTTATAATAATGATATAAGCTTTAACTGACACCTCAAGTAACTTGAACCATATGACACCATTGATATTGTTATCTTCAACATTTGTATTATATTTTGGATATTCAAATATTTTGGCCTCGATCGTCACTAAAGAGACATAAATTGTCGAAATATGCATCTGATGCAATAAAATTGGTACCGTTTGTGTTTCTGGTTGCTTATGATAAATCACCAGGTAACGTAAAATCTTACATTGCTATTTCGATATCATGTACATTTAATAATTTTATCTAAAAATATTTCACAAAACGTTCAATGTTCGAAAAATTCCCGCCCGTATGCGTGTGTTTAAAATAATATCAAAACTGTTACAAATGAAGAAAACATTGGCAGCAGTAAACACTGAAATAAATCAAATATATATATTGGGGTTAAGCAAATAGATGAGAGAACACAATTGTTCCTTATACATCAACTTAATATGTCATTTGATACCATATCATGATAAATTTATCAAATAGTCATTTATATAACTCCATGAGTAAATAAATGCCAAAGTTAAGCGATACATCACAAAACATTAACCAGAAAACTTTGGTTTTTTGGCACGACAGCTGGAGAGATGGATCATATCCCTGATCTTAGTCATGCTGGCGACAGTCAGATAAAGGAGACCGATGCTTCAGTACCGAGGTAATCAGAAAAACCTACTAAATGCAATGCCGAAAGAAAATACAAGTTCTCGAATATCGTATTGACATAAACTCACAGATATGATTGTTTTAAGTCCTATTTTAGTTTTTCTGGTCCTTTTTTGTCATATAGCTTCTGAAGTTGTTTCGTATTTATAAATCCATGGCTGTCAAATGTTTACGTATGAGTTTTCCTGATGAGAAAAGTAAATCACAAGAAGAAAGGCTCGTATTCATTTATTGGGGTTTGTTTTGGCTGCTTTATTTCAAACCTATTTATCTAGTTCTTACGGATTCCAAATTTAAAGCAGATGATATAATCAAGCAAATTACAGCGTCCCATATAAACTCTACTTTAACAGGACAATATTTTGCATACTATTGGACTTTGACAATTTTTGTAGTATATCGAAACACTGTGAATACGAATGTAGGAAAAAAAGTCGCGGGGGAAAAAGTCACGGATAAAAAGTCACAGGAAAAAAGTTCACAGGAAAAAGGTCACAGGAAAAAGGTCACAGAAAATAAAGTTAATAGTAAATTCAGTACATTAAATTTTAATATATTTACTTTTTTATATATATTTTTATTGAGATGAAGGCAGGAACATATACATGTTTTATATGTTTCTTTTGTATTGAAAAAGTCACATGAACATTATTTGTTATTGTATGTAGTAAATTATATCAACTGAATAGTGTTTCAGAATATTTCAGCATCTGTTTATATTAAAGTAAAAGGGTATGGTATTTTAATATTTGTGTGTATTGCAATTAACCAAAGTTAAAACAAAATGTTCATGAAAATGTCAAGTTTTTTAAACAATTCAACAGCCAGTTATTAACTAATTTACTAGCTTCAATTTACATTTCCTGTCAATCTTCTGCTGTCTGGACAGATTAACACTGAAACTATAAAAAATGTTGGTTTTATTTTATAGCATATCATGTATTTACCAATGAAGTTCAGTATAACTTTAAAAGAAGAGAAAAGCAATGAAATACTATCTAAAATTTCTACGAAAAGTTGACATTAGTTCCTATCAGATTTGTGACTTTTTTTCCTACATTTATCATTTTTGTTTATAAAATTTGTGATTTTTTTTCCTGTAAAATCTGTGATTTCTTTTCCTGTGACCTTTTTCCTGTGACTTTTTCCCGTTTACCGTGAATACTACCCCTTACTATAAAGTCTGTCTGAATTTTTGCTTGTGTCTTATCATACTGAAAAGTATGAATTATGTCTGACTTTGTCTCAAAATATTGAAAGGAGCAGGCCCAATAAGACCCCTTTTTGGCCCCAAAATATAGCAGATTTACAAAATTGTTAAAATGTAAATTTTTAGCTATTTATTGGAAAGAAGAATACTTCTGTTACATAAATATGGGCTGTTTTTGACAATACAATGCATATTTATCGGGTACTAGCATCATTAAGTCATGCTAAATTACTGAAATCCTCGAAATTTTAGCATTTTTGTTAATTTTTAGACGGTTTCAGTCTGAAATGGGAGTGGCCGCATTTGTGTTCATTCTTAATATTTAAATGTAAGTTGTATTTGATATTAATTCATAACATAAATAAAGGATGAGAATGAACACGGATGCGGCCACTTTCATTTTTGACAAAAACCATCTAAAAGTGACATATTACGGCATATTTGATAGATTTTTCATATTTAAGCTTGCATTTGAGCGTCTTTAATGACTAAATCAGTTAAAATCTTTCACATAAACTAATTGAATCGACTGAAGTAGACACTTAAGTGTTTAAAAAGTGTCCAAAATATTTCATTAGATGAACTTGAATTTTGAGGCCAAAATCGGCCCTTACCGGACCTACTCCTTTTTCTTAATGCATTCTAATCATTTGTAACGGGTATATAAGATGCAGTTGTTTAGTAATATAAACATTTTGTGGTTTACTTCAGGTTGGCAAATTATCATTAAAGTGTATGCAAAACGATCATATGCATGATATATTTCTAACTTTATAAGAGAGAGGCGGAAGATGACGAAGTTGTGAATGAAAGTCACATGTCGTGTATGAAAGTCACATGTTACCGTTGCAGAATATCTGCTCTATTGTATCACCGCTGCTTTTGAGACTGTATGTAAAATGGCGTCTTACTATGCGGTATGGGTTTTACTCATTGTTGAAGGCCTATATATGTTAATTTCTGTGTCATTTGGTCTCTTGTGGAGAGTTGTCTCATTGCCAATCATACCACATCTTCTTATTTTTATCTGAATCTATTGTGTTCTTTCCTCAGAAATCTTGAATTAACCTGACATTTTTGTAGAAAAGTTAAGTTAGAAATTCTAAAATCTTGAAAATTACACAAATTAAGTATTTACAACAGCCACGAATACGTATTAGGGTGGTACCTAACACTACAGGGAGATAACTCTGTAAAAATCAGCTAAACGTTTTAATTACGTTGTATTGTTAAGGAAATATTAAGCTTCTCAATGATCAAAATTAGTGTTTGTCAACCTGCTATATAACCAACGAAATTTTTCTGATAAAGTGGTTGGTTCAAATTTTTTGTAATTTTTATTTTTTTGTCAAAGGGTCAAAGAAGACATTTTGTCAAAATTTTATGAAAATTAAACGAGCCAAATTAATATTAGTCAAGGTGTTGGGTACCACCTTAATACATCCCAAATGTAACGGTACATCCAACTGCTGATTTGAACTACTTCTTTTCACATCCCATTTTGGTGGCAACGTTTTAATCATTCGTATCTAAAATCTTTTTCGAGTGATGCTCTTCTCCCTTGACCAAGATGTGTAGTGATTAATGATCATGGCGATAGTCAGTCAATTCAGATCTGACCCTAATAGTGTGGGCAGGATATCACAAATGTCTATTGAAAGAAAGATCTGGCTACATTCATAATCACTTCTAATGCCAATCATATGATTGATAGTTGACAATTTGAGTCGCCAACATTCTGGTACCAGAATGTATACTGTACATTTGTAGATACACAGTGTTCGTGCAAGTACCATTGCAACATATGATGTGACTGATAAGTCTGGGCATGCGGTATTTGCCTGCAAGTCAGGCATCGTAACCCTGTCAAGATCATGCGTGTGTGTCTGTTTTTCAATGTTGTTTGACTGATTACTACTTGACGGGAAACGCCCAAGTGACGATTTAAATCTATTTAAAGAGACAATATAAATCAATGGAGACACGTTGCGAAAAGGCTATTTATAAATTCTTTCGATTGGACTTTCCGATATCGAAGTCATGACACTCAACACTTTAAGTGATCACAGAAACAATTGGTCGTAAATAAGCGCCCCTAACTAGTTGCTATTTTGAAGTTTTCCTTTGTTCAGTTATTTGATAATAATGAAATAATAAATCTATTTTATAATAGTGTCACGCATTGACTGACATACATTATACAATAATGAATACATTATAAATAAACAATCAATACGCATCAACTTTGAAAACATATTTTTACACACTCGTCATATAACCGTCATTTAACCATCATATGCAAACTGATGTATATTAGGTTTTCATGTAATATTAATATAAAGAAATAAAACTATTAATAAAAGATTTAAGCATTAAAAGCAAACATTGATATTGAATAGTCTATACCTTGCCTTGGTTAAATAATTAGAAAGGGGGTGCTAAACAAAATTAACGGGGAAAATGAATAGAATTTGCATCAATTTAAAAATTGTTATTAATCACTCAAATGTGGGAACCTTAGGATGCAAAACGTCCAGTGGCAAATATTTCATGCATTACAATAAATACAATAGGTAGGTCCTGTAAAAGAGGCGTCCGGGATGAAGGTGGAGGAAATTTTGACTGCCACGGGAAAATGAGGATATATTGGATAGGGACAGAAATTAAGCCTTGCAACAGGTCATCCACGGACCCATCAAAGAGTTGTTGTAAGGGTCCTTGGCACTCTTTTTACCCGAGGCATCGGATTTAACGTCCCCATTATGACTGGACGTGGGTGCGAACTTGTATATCCCGCACAGCCAAACGGACGCCCCACTTTGGCGAGAGTTTTACTGCCGGTCGGAGGAAGACCAATGGTAACCATATTTCTATTCCCCAGTCACCCTTGGGTGTTAAGTTGCACATAGACAATTAGTGAACATCATTTAATAATTCACAAGTATAAACAGTTATTGTTATGATTGTTTTATGTTTATACGCGTATATCTAGAAAGTGTTTTTATATGAATGAATCTCGTTCAGAGGTCTCTGTTTAGTGAAAAAATCCATCGTTAAAAAAAAATCTGAATTTT